CGGGCCGTTCCAAAATCAGAACGGGCTGTCCCCAAGTCCGGAACGGGCCGTTCTGAAATTGGAACGGGCCGTTCTAAGACTCCTAAAAAGGCATAAAATGGTAGGTTGGAACGGCTGTTCCAAACCAGAACGGGCCGTTCCAAACCACATCAAAGGCCTAAATCTTGTACCCAGAATGACTGTTATGATTTCAGAACGAGCCGTTCAGGTCCCCGAAACGGGCCGTTACGTTTCTAGAACAGGTCGTTCTGGTCCCCGGAACAGGCCGTTCCATTTTCAGAACGGGTCGTTCCAGGGTACGAAATTTGCCCATAATGATTGGGCCAGGACGGGCCGTTCCGAATCTGGAACAGGCCGTTCTGGCCCTTTTTGATTCCTACAAATTGAAGCTTCAGGCACAGTTTTGGTGGCGGCCAGAGAAATTTCGAATAAGACTCCTTTGAGCACGAAAATTCTCTATCTCTCTCCCTTCTATTATATTTTTTTGAGATTTGTGTCGCATTTCTATATTCTCTCTCCCTCCTATTGTATTTCTTGAGATTTGTGAGGCATACTGTAGTGTGAAAGGTCGCCACAAAGCACCTTTTCCATATTTGAAGATTCAATAAAGCTTGTTCAAGAGGTATTTCATTCAATCTTCTTTTCTTCTTTTTATTCCTCATTTTTTATTTCCTTTTTATTATAATAAACGTCATAATGTAGATATTTTAGAGAAATTGCTTAATTTATATTTTAAGTATGTAAATAAACATTATTAAAGGGGATTTAATATTTAATCTATTAATTCTTATTACGTTATCTTCATCATAGGGTACCGATTTAGGGTGTTGTAGGGGTGTTTAATACCTTCCCTATACGTAATCGACCCCCGAACCCAATTTTGGTTATCAAGGCCATTATTGGATCTTTAAAAACCTTTTCTTTTTCCAATATTTTGAGTAAAATATTGGTGGCGACTCCATGAACCTATTTTCAAAACCATTAATTAAGGATTAGTCTGGTGTCCGGGCATTCCTTAATTAATGAGACTTTTAAAAGGATGTCTAAATCATAGGTCGCAAGATCGGAAATTTTCGGGTTGCGACAATACCTAAGTTGTTCTACCACATAGTAATATTAGATTTCCTAATTTAAGTGATGGCATCTGAGAAACCATGTTGTTAGGAATTGGTATCCTAATTGGTTGTTGATCTAGCTGGATTGAAAAGATCAAGATATCGATTTAATAGAGAGAAACCACTTAGATTGCTTACTTTTGTTGTAAGAGATAGTTTAGTTGAAATGTGTGACGATCCATATAGTTATTTTGTGTATATGATGTGTTGATTGAGTTGTGTTATGTTGTTCATATGCAATGTTGGTTTATCACAAGATGTATTACTATGTTGCAAATTTAGGAGTGATATGGTGTTGTTCAAGTTGAAATCATGTTAAATTGTGTTAAAAGTTGTAAGTTGATATTGTATTGTAGTAAGTTGGGTTGTTATGTTGATAGTATAGTTATTTTTACTTTTATACTGATTATGTTGATTTTTTGAACTCTAATTCACCCTTACATGTTTTCATGTAGTTGAATTACGATAATTATACATTATAGAGGAGCATAATAAGAATAGGTTATTGATGGAGCTTATTTTGAGACCATGTTGATAGATGACGACGTAGTTAAAAGATTACTTTTGTTGTAATTGTTTGACCGACAACCTAAATTACAATATAGTCATTTCTTTAGATTACTCTATGTGTATGTATATGTTTAACATGTTTAAATGTTAGTGTAAAATTTCTGTACATCAAAGAACTAATTGCACAATAACCTTAAATTATAATTATTTTCGTTTCTAATTATAGATTTAGTAAAGTATAAAGACGATGATGAATTGTTACATCATTAATTAATATGTTTAGTCACCATAAATATGTCCTTAATTTATTAAAATAGTTAACGTTGATTGTTAAAAAATTATTAAAAAAATTAACATCCATAAAAATGTCATTATGTTTTATGTATGCAAGTCATTAATATGTTTATTTTTCATAAATATGTCATTAATTGTTTAAAATAATTAATGTTGATTGTAAAAAAATTATTTATTAAAATTTAACATCCGTAAATTACTGTAAATAAAATTGTTCAATCAATAGAGAGAAAAAAACATTTTTAAGTTAAATGAAATTTTGTGTAAAAGAAATATAAAATAAAACTCTCTAAAGTCTAAAACTAAGTTAAAATTTAAATTAAATTTTATTATTTGATAAAAATTAATAAATATCCTGTGTGTGTTTGTGTTGATAAGGGCCTGAAAGCCCGACAGGTCAAATCATATGCCAGAAATGGTACCAGGTGTTTGTTTCTGAAGCCCAGCCATCTCTCACATAAGATCCACGTGGTAATTATCAATATCCACACTCATATGTATGTCAGAGGTTTTTTGTAACAATTATTGACGGAAAATATCAAAATGATATGATAGGTACACAGATGTTACATAAAAAAAATATTTAAAACTTCACGTTCAGACAACAAATCTCGTTCCACAATCAATAATGGTCTTTTATTTTTTATTTTACAGATCATAGATTTTTTTTCTTTCAAATATTTAATGTAATTTAATATTCAGAGTTTAAACCCAAGAGGCCAAGACTATTTACGTGCGTTCTCGGTGGTGAATAATGACCTTTTCCCCAATACAAAGGTGGTACCGTATTTTTTTTTTCTTCCTTTTTATTTGTCACCGCACAATGTCTACACATTATATTGTCATTGACCGTTAACTCGCTATATCATAAAAGACGTGTATCATTTCCAATTTGCTAAATATATATCATTAAAACTCAAATTCTAATTTGCTAAGATCAAACTGAACGAATCCACCATCGATATAACAAAGAGGTATACATTCGATTCTACTTGATCTCCATATGCATGACAAGAAGTGCTGACAGTATATATTCGTTTATGCAGATTTTCAGCCACTGCCAAAAAGCATTTCAAAAGAAAACTTTAACTTTACTTGCAACTTCGATTTTTCCTGATCAAATTCTTCAGATTTTTCTACCATGGTAAAGTTCAGATAGGGAATGCAATATGTTATCGGTTGAATTTCAAATTGTTATCCTGACTGTTGGAAACATTTTGCCTGTCCCCAAAATAATATCGACTTAGGTGTCAAAGATCATTCATCATGGTTTAATATTAACAGATTACTCACGGAAGTGATCTCTAATCTGCCAATTAACATCGGTTTTGGTATAGAAAGTAGAACACATGAACAAAATAGCAGTATTGTCATGTCATGCACATTCGTTCACCTGACTAGCCAATGCAATAGAACTGCATGAAATTAATGAACATTACCCATATTTTATATTAAGGGACTCAAGTGATTGGTTTACATTATATTCTATTTTAAGCAAACATTCCATCTCAACATTATGAACTACTTTCTACCATTTATTTGATAGTCCCACAGTATTATCCACTACATTTTTGTAGCCAATAAAAGGGTACAGGCAACAAATACGATCAAACTAGCCATTGTAATGTACAACAAATACCTGGTTAGCTATATGAACAAATGAGCAAATGATTTTTAAAAAAGAATCATAATGAGTTTAAATTACTTTCTACAGGACTATTAAACAGTGTATGAAGAGTGGGAATCTCATGCCAGGGATCAACCAAACTGGTGGTGGCAATTAGGCCCTTGAGAATCAAGCAACAAATTTTTGACCCTTTACTTTGAATCCGTTGCATAGTCTGGAAATTATAAGAGTTGCCAATCATCCTCATGGTTTACGGAATCATTGGCGTGGGCCGTGCCAAGGAAATCATCCTCTTGGAATCCAGTGTTGTCACCTGACACATCATTACTAGTGACTTGCTTTGAGAAACTCCGAGACTCAGCTACAGTGAATAATGGTGCACCATTTGATTCTTCTGCAAGCTTGGAAGCTTGGGAACAGAAATCATCAAAATCATCTGCCAGCCACAATTGATCGAGTGATGAAGGTTAATAGAAAGCATAGATATTAGCCATAATTATTGAACTATAGAATTTAAGCAAAAGCCACAAGCAAACCTTTGTTTCGGCAGTAAAATCCAATAGCCAATGATGGATCAATTGAATCTAGGGGTATGTGCCTCATAACACTGGTAAGAGATTTAAAAAACTTGGACAATCAAGAATGATCGAGTTGTGGTTAACACAATAAAATAAAATCAATACTATCAGAAAGCCTACCTGCAATGGTATGATGAAGTACTATTAGGCTCCTGAGTTTCCCCATTGATATTAACAACCTGAAACCATTTAAGATGTACTTAGCAATCTATTAATGCTTCACCAACCCAATAACAGCCTAAATATTGTATGATTGAAGTCATGCAAAAACAGCAGGGAAACCAAATGGGATGTCATTCCCTCCCAAGTCCCAACTACTAGGATATCATGGATCCATTCATTTTGTCCATCTTTTAGCTGTTCCGTTTTGCACTTTGTCTTTTCTTTCCTTTTAGCTATTAGCAGTTATTTTTAATTATTTCTCAAGATTGATAAAGATAGCCTGAAAACGTAATGTTCTCCTCTAAACAACAAAAACCACCTCAAGCTCCACCAATCTCCAAATATTTACATACCTACATCATTAACCGAATTCTATTAGCCAGTTCCTGCATTATAGTCAACAATTTGTAATCTCAAATTCAAGACCCCATTGTTGGCTACCCATTTACAATTTCAAAATCATGATTTCAAAATAACTAACAAACCATGCATGATTGTAATCTGGAAAAACATTTCAGAAAGGCCATTGCATTCTAAATTTATATACACGTGTTTGCATACATGAAGGTAATTGTATTATACGTTAAGAGCCAATTGATGCTTTGTGGTGGTCAATGTTGAGAATGAAGTGCCAACAACCATTAAAAGAAGACAAATCCTAATAAGTTGGAATATTTTTAATTGGAAAAGAAAACACTTATATTGAAAACATTTTTTTTATAGCTTTTTTTAAGTAAATAACAGCAGGTTTGAAATCAAGATAAAAGCATACTGTGCCTATAAATTATACATTGAACAAGTTAAATCATATATAACAAATATGATACAAGTTTCACAATCTCATAAGTGTTTGAGGTAAGTAATAATAATTTTGTATACTCTCATACCGGTTGAACATCATGTGGATCAAGGTAGAATGCCTTTTCATTCTGAACACCAATAATGTATGTTGAAGCACCAGGTTTGCCACCCATGACGCCAAGGCTTTGGGGAAATTTAAAAGTTGAGTGCAACAATGGAATATACCTGACAACAGTTTATATATGCATCCAATCAGTGATTGCACTACAGTAAAAATTGAACAAAAATTTTCAACTTATATTTTAAAAACATGTGTCAATCATTTAGCACATAGGCAAATTACCTATGATTTGAATACATGCATCTACTACACCTAATTATTATCTCTATTAAGCACTAACTCCTTAGATAGAGAGATTAATCATTGTGTTACATCACTATGCAGAACTGCTTGAAGTTTGAACCAACAGTGGTATTTTACAAGGCTGGTGATGAATAATAACAACATACAAGTTTTACCCCATTGGTAAGTCTCTGTCCGTGGGATTCAGCATTCATAACAAATGAAATTGAAAGTATAGCAAAAGCATAAGTAAAAGAAACATACTAGCTTTGGAAATTTTCAACACATACTCAACAGTAAATGTCATGCAAATTTCTAGCTTATCAGATTTATGATTGACATTGAAAAATTTAAGAGATGGGATAAGAAGACTGAGACTTGGTAAGCTGTGCAATATTTGTGTCTTTAGGTAGTTATGGATCTGAATTATTGTTTGTAGTTATTTAGGCAGTTATAGAATGGTGTCACAGTTTGTGATGATTTGTGTATGGGGCTTGGGGGTGGTCATTCATTGGGTAGTTTTACTAATTGCTAAATGAAAAAGGATGAGACTCCTCGGGGGCAAACTGTGTTTTGTCTGTCCTGTCCTGTAATTCTAGCCTAAAAACCAGATTGTTTCTAGTGATAAATACATAATTCAGTTGTCTGCTCACTCTGGAGTTTTAACAAATTAAGAATTAAAATAGAGGAAACCTTTTTATGGATTGTCACTCCTATTATTTGTAAAAGAATCCAGATAGGCAGAGAATGTTTCTGTTTAACAAATATAATGATTCTACTAGGCTCAACTGTCAATCAATTACAAAGTAGTATAGCACCAAAGAACCTTGAAAATGTTACACACCTTGGATTTACTTTATCAAGTCCAAGAACCAAAGGAACCAATAAAAGTAGAGGTGTCCAAGCAGCCTGGCCCCTTGAAAACTCAGAACAACGTTTGGAGGCATCTTCAATGCAAACAACTGGTGCTCCACCACGCTCCCCATCTTCATCTCCAGAAACAACATAAATTGCCATTGGAAGTGGCGGTTCTCCAAGGTCATTTTTCTCCCTCAGGTTACGGGCTAGAACTTCCCATGTGCGACACATGGCATATGGTCCCACCCATGACCCAACAGCAAGGCCATAACCTTTACCAGCTTGAAGAAGATTGTGGATAGAAAAGGCAGAAGCCTCCGAATCACCAAAAAGTTGCAAGATGTCAATATATTCCTTATCCAGTGGCTGTAAGTTATAGAAATACAACGAGTCAACCCAGTGGCATTATATCTCAAGACTTACAAAGATGTGAAGACAAAAAGTAGAACAAAAAGAAATGTACGGAAAATAACAGTGTAATTACTGAAGCAACATATTGCATATCAATCACCTGACCTTGTCAACAGTTTTTCTCCATGATCTACCTAATCTATGAAAAAGTAATGCCTGTACACAAGGAAGCCACATTAGTAGCTTTATTTTGAAAGACAACAAAAACAGTTTGAAAAAAATACACAGATTATAATAAGGTACCATATGACAAATTCATTGTCAAAAGCAAGCAATAAGTGAAGCCAGAAGGAATCACACCTGAGCAACGAGCATCTGACTGCTTCGAAGCATACAACCCCAATTAACATCACTAGTATACTTTGAATCTCCAATAGCATCAAAGCCTGTACAGTATGCATATTAAAATTAGTTAGTCTAATATCTATCAACTTAATACATCTCTGAAGAGCTAGTATACATTCAACAGACCTTTCCGATACGTAACTAGGATTTTTGAGGAGAAATCTTGTTCAAATGCTGCCAGTCCATTAATAGTATCTACACCTCCAGTTGATTCGTTCTGTGAAATTTTATGACAGACTCCTAGAAGCCATATGTCACCATCAGAGCTTGAAATGTCCGTCCTGCTTGACCCTAGTACACGCTCATGAAATCTCCTCATTGAGCCACCACTAACAACTTTCCTCACAGCAGCTGCCCACCCACTACTTCGAGAATTAACTGTTTTCTTTTCAGAAGTCGATGATTCACTATATGTTTCAACCACTGAAAAACCAGATGTAAAGATGCTTGACCATAAGGAAGCCTTGGGAAACTTACTGTCACTAGACCCTGCTTTTGAATAAGCAGGCACCTGAGTATTATCTACAGTCTCTGTTGAGCTTTTAGAAGAGCATTTTGAAGCAACAATTCTCTCACAGAAACCCTTCAATACCATTATGAAGCTGAAGAAAACACAAGATTTGGCTCATAGAAGCAAACCGAGTTTGAGCCAATATCTGCCAGTAAAAAGGTATATAATGAAATAAAGAGCTGAAAAGCCTTCAAAAACACTTGATCATTATTATTCACTCGCAATCTAAAGTTGAAAGATACATCTAAGAACAAAAAAGAAAATGCTTTTCTTAAGCTAACACATTCTACAGCTAGCCTAAAACGACGTGATAATCTCTGCATTTTAGACTTCTACCTATACATAAAAGAGATAATTGAGGAAACTACCAACATAGGTCGGGTCAATGAATAAAGAAAGAAAACAATCAAGAGAGAGAGAAAAAAAGCATGAAAGAAAAATCTAGAATGAAAGAAAGCAAGCAATAATTAGAAAAATAACCTATGATATCCTCCACCAAGAACCCCAATATAACCATGACTTCTTAAATCCCGTAATCAAAATAATAAGAAGAAAAATTGATGTAAAATCAAGTGCCCCAAATCCACATAACCATCTTAAACACAAGAGAGAAACATCATACAAACAAAAAACTGATGCAAAGAACTAATGATATCATCAGTACACATGCTGAAATTTCGTCAGAGCTTTGAATAATCGGTTCGAAACTATGCATCAGCCACGTAAATTCCAAAGAAGAAAATGAGAAAAATGTATAAAGCCAACACGAAACAAAACCCAGAAGGGAATTTTGCAGAGAGACCCAAATTGAATGGGTTTGAAGGCAGAGAATCCAAGGCTGAGGAAAGAAGCTAAAGCAATTGTGCGAAGGAAACAACGAATATTAGGATAAAAAAAAAGATTTTTTTAAATTTTTTTTCAAATGGGAATCGAAACAAAATAAGATTACAGAAGGAGAGGGAAAGGTAACAACGTACGAGGTTTTTATTGTAGGTGAGAGAGGATGGTGAGATGATGAAGAAGGGTGGCAGAATTCTGATCATAAACTCTCAGCTATGAGACTTGGTTCGGACTCTACTTCATCTCTTTTTCTCACACAACCTCTCTTAGGTATGTTCCTAACTCTCTCTCTCTCTTTCTTTTTTAATTAAGATAAATATTTATGTTCCTAACTCAATAATATAAATAAAGATTTCACTATAAATTTTATAATGCAGCTCAAGCCTCAAATTATACCAAACAACATTTATAAATAATGGTAAGCTTTTGCGAGAGCTGTTCCCGGATACATACCGTCTACTTAGTAGATGCATTTTTTTTGTTGTTAATCTTAAATTAATATTTGATTAACATATATATTATATTTTATAAAGATAAATAAGTTTTTGATGGTTAATTTTAAAATATAATGCAAAATATGTTCATAAACAAAACAGAATTAAGTTTGTTTTTTATGGAAAGATAAATAAGGATTTTATGTATATTTTTCTGTTTGAGGAATGAATTCTCTTTTATTTTTCTTTTAAGAAGAATATTAATTTTTATATATTAGATATGAATTTTTCTTTAATGATAGAGTTTATAAGATTTTTTTTATAATTTTTTATCTAATTTTATTTTTATTTATTATAATTTTTTATTAATTAAATCTTAATATTTTAAAATAGATTATTAATAAATAAATAGTTAATTATAATATAAATTATTTATTAAAATTCTAAAAATATAAAACTTAAGAATTGAATATAAATGATTAATGTGTTGAATTCAAAGTTGAATTGTTGATAATTTATGTATATGTGTTTTAAATATAATTAATATATTCAAA